CCCTCAGAAGCCTCCCCTCCAAGCAGCCACTGAGATTTGGGGGATGGGAGGGGGATGCTATGGGGTGACACCCTTGACCGCAGCGGCCAGCCACGTGCGGGCAAATTTGGCGTCATGGGCCACGCCAGGCGGCGCGCAGTGATTAGGGTGAGGCTCAGTGGCTCAGGAATGGGGGAGCCCCCCCAGCCCTGCCCCGGTTCCCCAGCTTTGGGGTGCTGTGGGGTGCCGGCAGGCACAGCCGGAGGGCATTGAGCGAGGTCTTTAATCAAGACAGATACCAAACCTGCCCCGGCAGCCGGTGTCAGCTCCACCGCCCCACCCGGCATCTTTTGGGGCGGGTTACGGGATAATTCTCTACCCTGACGGGATCAGCAGGGTTTGGGGTGCACGTGTCTGGCTGGGCTGCCACGGTGCATCCTTGGCGCACCAGCACTGGTTGGTGGGTGCCAAGGGGTCCCGTGGAGAGGTTTTTGGGGTGGTCACAGAAACTCTATGGGCAGGCAGGTGGCAGGGCAGGAGGGTGATGAACCCCCCGAGAGACCCCAAAAGAGGTGCTGGTGGGTGGGACAGCCCGGTCTCCCAGGGTCTTTCCTGGTGCCTTCCACAGCAGGGGCAGCCCGGGTCCCAATGGGTGAGCTCAGCCCCGGCGCAGCCCTCGGGCAGGACAGGGCGGCTCCCGGGTGGGGATTAAGGGCTTTTTAGGACAAGCACGGGGGCGGAGGTGGATCTGGGTGAGCCGCGGCGCTCAGCACCCACATCCCAAACTGGGTGGGCACCCCAGACCCTATGTGTGCCTAGGGCAGGTGCTATTGCCGTTCCCCCGTCGCGGGGTGCTGGGGGAGGCAAAGGGGACCCCTGGCCCCAGTTTGTCCCAGCTGCTCCCTGCAGCCGCAGGGGAAAGGCATTTCCTTCCCTTGCCACCCACGCTCACTGGCAAGGAGGATGAGGAAGGGCAGTCAGGGCACCACGGTGATGGTGGGGATGCACTGCACAGCCAGGTTTTGGGGTGTTCAAGTTCCTTGGGTACCCCGTGCTGCAAAGGGCCATACTGGGGGCTTGCTGGTGGTCCCAGTTTGTGGCAGGGATGGGCTCGGTCTGTGACAGCCCCAGGTTCCCAGCACGGCACAGGGTGCAAAGCTGCTGGGTGCACCCGTGGGTCTCTGCTCCCGTCCTCTCCTGAGCACATGGGGTTTGGTGTCCCCAGCTCCACCGCAGCGGCACTTGGGGACACCAGCGAGCCCGCTGCGATCTGACACCCCTCTGCCCTCATTACAGGGTGCCGATGGCTCCCAGGCTCCGTGCTGGGGGCTCAGTTCCCCACACAAAGGACAGGGCTGTCCCCATGCAGGCAAACTGACCCCCAGCTCAAGGGGACCCCATCACCCCCCAGAGGAGGGATGCACTGAGCACTGGTGGCACTGGGAGAGGGACAGCGCTGGGACCGAGCTGTGCAGCAGCCACCGCAGCAACGGCACCAAATCGGCTGGGGAGGCCGATGGCGACCTGTCCCCAAGCCAAGCCAGCCCCTGGAGCACCCAGCACCGGGGAGTGGAGCAGCTGATTATCGGCCTGGCCAAAACGAGAGCAGCCGAACAGCTTTGGCTCACCAGTCCCTGAACTGGTTTACCCACCAGACACACACTGGGGCTGGTGCGAGGGAGAAGGCAGGAATGTGCTGCTGGGCTTCGGGCAGGATTAGGGCTGACGCTGGGCATGTGGGGCCGACACAGAGGCTGCGAGGAGCAGCATCCATGGGGAAAGGTTTTCCTTGGCACCTTCTCAGGTATCATCACCTCTCCCATCTCTGCCAAACTTTGATCACTGGGGATTAAACACCCTTCTTCCTTCCTTCCTTTTTGCTCGCTCTCCTCCACAACGCCCAGCAGCCACAGGAAGGGCGCGAGGTGTGGAGCTACCCCAGTGCCGCTGGCTGGGACGCGCAGACACAGACCATTGGTGCTGGTCTGGGATGGAGCTTCCCAACGTGCCCGATGGCTCCTGGAGCTCTGGCAAGGCTGTGGCACGGGTGATGCCCTGGGGGAAGCAGTTTCATGCCCATCCCACGCAGCGTGCCAAGAGCTGGCTCCTGCCTCGTAACCAGTTCAATTCGACGCCCCCAGTTCCTGCACCAGCACGAACCACGCAGGGGTCACCTCCATTCCACACGGCCATGGTCTATGGCACTGTCCTTTGGCTGGATACTGTCACAGACCTGCTGCTGCCTTGTGGGGACGGGGAGAGCCACAGCTGCACCAGATATTCACCCAATGGCGTTTCTCATTCCATCCTCTCTTCTTTCTTTAATCCCCACCATTCGATCTGCTTGGTTTGACCAAGGCGGTGTCCCCAGACCTGGTCTGGTGCACGCTCTGTGCTGGGACCCCCCTCTCCAGCAGCGCCTGCCTCCTCTCCCTTCTCTAAACCCTGAAATTGAGAGGGAGATTCGGCCGGATTTGGGATCTTTTTGCCCTTTACCAAGTTATTCTGAACAACTTGAGTAAGATGACGAGCACTCGGGGGGCAGAGCAGGTGAAGGGGCTGGCGTGGGTCGCCCGTGCAGCAGCACGCCCCAGCTCTGATCATTCCATCCAGCCAGGAGCTGCTGAGCACAACGAAGGCCACGCGTTCCTCTTCTCGCCGAGCTCCGGGCAGGTGAAAATAAACCATTCCTGTTTCCTCGCAATAGGCACCTCTGCGTTGAGCAAGACCGCTCCCAGTGCAGGCACCACACACGCCGCAGGGTGTGAGACAAAGGCCTGCAGCGTCCGGGAAGAAATTCCACCTACCTGTGCAGGGTTGCACAAACAGCCACCGAGAGAGGTGGTGCTTTTCCGCCTTCCTCCGAAGCACCAGCCGCCCTCCGCCTCGCGGATATTCAGATGCTATGGAGACAGACCATAATGAACTGTAATAACACAGGCAAATACCGCAATCCGTCACCTTTCAATCACAAGGCTCCTTTCCCTTCCAACCTACAAGCGTACTCAAGCGTGGAGATGAAAATAGTTCCGAGATGAATGGCTGTCACGCAGGGAGGCGGCGGCGGGAGCTCCCTCCCTGCGGCTCCCAGCACAGACCACTGCCACCCGGGGGCTGGCGCAGCATTGGACAGGACCCGAGCACCCCTCGTTCTTGCTGGGGGTGCAGACACTGCCCGGGGGCTCCGCAAAGCGCACGATTCGGTTTGGTTTTGGCAGCTCAGACACCGCCCGGCTTCGTTTTCGCAAGAGCTGCGCCGTGACCCACGCGTGGGCAGTTCCTGCACGACGGCGGCCGCTGCGGGAGCCAGGGCTGGGGGGCCTGGCAGCAGCCAGTGACCCCCCCAAGCTGCTGCAGGTCTCTGCTGCCAGCAGGCACAGGTACCTGGAGCAGGACCCTCACTTTGGGGCTGTGGGGTGCAATGCTGATGGCTGCACTGGGAGGCAGAGCTGCTGGGGGGGGTCTCCACAGAGGGAGAACTAGCACAGCGACACCACAACAGCTCTTAAAAAAATAACTTTAATGTTTTAATGTTGAAGATACACCATCTGTTCACTCCACGGCAGGATCCCACAGCCTGGGTTAGCACAAGGGTTGGGCACGGGCACGGCCCATGGCCCCGCTCAGCACAGCAAGTGCGGGAGGAAGGGAGCAGCGCCGGTGCGGGGCGACTCCGGGGGCTCATCCCTGACCCTGCGTCTGCCCAAAACCAAAGCTCAGGGTGAAGCTGCTCCAGAGACGCACAGGCTGCGCATTTGGGGTGCGCACCCAACCACACAGGCAGCGTCCCCAGGACGGGAGCGCCCAGCAGGCACAGCCCCAGACAGATGGGTCCATCCCCTACATTCTCCACTTGAAGCTCCACAGGGAGAAAAAGGCACAAACCTTTTGCCTCCGTGAATCCCACCACCCTTCCAAAACCCCTTTTCCCCTAGAAGCTGCTGCCTCCCTGGTTCAGGAGCCTCATCACTCCAGCACACCGGCAACAAATCTCGAATTAGTCATTGATTTCCTCCATAGATCCTGGAGAAAACAGCTCCTGGAGAGCTGTTAGCCATAGATCCTGGAGAAAACAGCTCCTGGAGAGCTGTTAGCCATAGATCCTGGAGAAAACAGGGCTTTTTTTTTCAGTAAGGAAGCTCAAGGTTTCTGCAACACCCTCGGACGCCACCATCCATGAAAACACCGCGTGGATCCCACACTCAAAAGGCCTTTCCCAGTCACCAGGACGTGTCACTGACAAGGCAGGGACAGGCAGCTTAAAGTGCATTGTGTCACCCGGTCAGAGCTGGAGATGGGGACAATTCAAAGAGCGATGGTGCTAAAACCACTGGAAAAAAGCAACCAATCCTCGTGACCCTGGGTTTTTCACACCGGCCGCAGACACTGACCAGGGAGCAGGAAGCTATTTAGGAAGCAATCCTGAAAAAACGCAGTTGAATTTTCTTGCTTTATGGGGTAACCTAAATTATGTAAACAGCCATTCAAAACAAGGACCCTGCTGCTTCCAGAAGTAACTCTGAGCGCAGCCCCATGGACCACTTGCTCTTCGAGCGCAGTTTACAGCTCACCTTTAGAGCTCGCTGCTGCTTGTGAATTATTTCTGCTTTAACTGTGCAAAGACAACTATTTTGCTCACCTTCAGCCCCTGTCAGGAGGCACCTGCAAGGACACTACACGTAGCTTGAGCAAGCTTGGCTCTGCCAGGCACGGAGCTTTTTAACACCTCCTCATCCCGACAGAGACCAGCCAATATTCACACACTCTTCTGCAGGAGAGAGTAATTTTTCTGGCCTGGCATCCATCGCCAGCAATGGACACAGGGAGTTTGGTCAAATCAGTCTGGAAGCAAACTGGGGAGTGTAGGAATACTGGAAGCACTTGTAAACGTCGCTGCAGCGCATCACCAGGACATCCTGCTTCAGCTCCCCACGGCATCTCCTCCAGACGCTGCAGCGGAGCTGAATCAACATGGCTTGGGAATTAAATATTCAACCCGGTTCACAGGTGCCCTGCTGCCACCGCTGCTCAGAAGGTGCTCTCGAGCAGGCAGTGGCATCCACAACCCGTGGGACACACCTCCTGGGTGCGAAACCACTCCATCATATGGCTGGTGTGGCCTCCGTGCCCACAGGTCAGGCAGAAGTTGGAGGAGCCCCGCACTGCCACGTGGCAGATAGCGCACTGGAAGGTGAAGCCCTTGCAGATGGCACACTGGGTGCCGCGCACCTCGCTGCGGCAGTGGCTGCAGTACACGCCGAACTCTGGATGGAGGAAAGAAACGGACAACAAGACCATTAGTGCTGGCAGAATCACGCACAGCCCTGCATCCAGCCCCTGCGCTCGACAGATGGGGTCTCTCATCCCAGTGTGCAGGAGATCTGCCTCAGATCTCTGTCATGGTGGGAGAACGGTATCTTAGAGAGGTCTGTGGTCTCCATACGGGAGCAGGGACACGGGCAATCGGTGTGCTGGGGCACTGAGCGGCCCAGCGATTCCCCTGATGGCTAAATTGCTGTCGGTTGGGAACGTGTGTCAGGTTTCTAGCTCAGGACACGCTGACACACGCGTGTTTATCCCTATGAAGTGTAACCGAGGGCAAATGATTTTTGCTTTTGGATTTTCCTCACAGAGAGAGCACAGAGCGCATACGATGCATGCTGGATCAGTGTCGTGACTGCTGGCCGTAGAGGGGCAATGGCAGTGGCCTAAGTCACCAACTTTCACTGCAGTTACTCCCCAGGAGGAGGCCCCGGTGACAAGGTGAGACTGTAATGAGAGCCAAGCAAGCAACCGCTGCTTCTCTGGCATCTCTCACCCACTTCTCTCCTCCCAGGTTAAGTGCATCTTTCCCCAGAGGCCTAGGAAGAAGTCACAAGCTGGGACTCTGCCGGAGCAGGCACTCACCAATGCCTTTGTGGGGATCAGGAGGACAAGAGACAAACTTCAGAACCTCAGCCCGCTTCTCTCGCAGGCCCCAGCGATAAAGGATTTCTCCATAGCACTTCTTAAAGTCATCAAATTGCTGAGTGTTGGCAGGATCCAGGAGCCTAGGGGAACAAACAGCGCTGTCATCCACCCGACTGACTCCCTGAGACGCCGGTTGCAATCCTCTTCCCAGTGATGGACTGGCAACCAGCTCGCACGGGTAGAAGCACAGCAGATTACCTCCCACGCGCTGCTGGAACGCTGCTGAACGCTGGCTGGTCAGGCCTTCACTTGTTTTACACACAAGGGTGTGACCAGTGGGTGGACTCCCCTCTGGGGACCCCATCACGGCTACTCACAGACGTGTCACATGCAATCCCAGTAGTACGAAGCTTCTCCAAACAACTACGTGAATGAAAATGGAGCAGGCATGCTACTGCCCTTTGAGTTTCCATAGTTTTTTACTGTGTGGCCTGGTCTGGGTGATCCTGCTCTGGCAGGGGGGTTGGACTGGATGAGCTTTCGAGGTCCCCTCCAACTCCTAACATTCTGTGACAGCATGAACAGAGACCTGGCTATAGAGTTCCAGCTGACTTGGGTAGAGAGCAACACATCCGTGAGCACCCCCAGGGCACACCATAACCTACCTTTTGTTTTTCTCATGCTGGTCTTTCTCCCGCTCCCGATGGTCGGGATACATTAAGTTCCCGTAGCGGAAGTCATCCGGGGAAGACTCACACCAGGGAGTGGAGGCCTGCTCCGTGTCTTTGTTTGCTGCAAGCATCAAAAATGGTGTGAGCACCCTCAGAAAGCACAGCACTCATGAGCAACCCCCTCAAAACCAGGGTAGGGAAGGAGAGGTGGAAGACCACACATTTGCACACCCCAGTTTTCTCTCCGAGACACGGTCCTATCGCCTTCCGCATTGCTACAAACACTGCCCTAACTCAGAAAACTCAGTCCCAACCTCTTCATGCCCATACTCCTACTGCAGTTGTGGTGACAGGATGGGAATGGGGATCATCAGGCAGAGAAATCTAACATGGAAGAGTCCCCTTTGCCTTCCACTTTAGACAGAAAGGATCCAGGGAATCAATCCCATGGAGTTTGCTTGGGAACGCTGTCCCCAGCAGGGCTGGACTCCTCCTGCCTAGGCAGGGAGGACTCCTGTCGCTAGGGCTGCTGTTACACACAGGGCCTCTGTATGTAAGGCATTGTCTCAGGGCCAGGGAGAAGGCTGCAAATAACCAAGAACCGGACAACTGCTACAGGACAATATCAGCACCGTTAACCCCCATCCTCCACTCTTCCCCACATCACCGATGCCTTGGTATCGCAAGGAAAAGTTACAGCTTTGGTGCTAACAGGGCTGATGCTTGGCCCAAATTTCATTAGGAATCAGCCAACAGCTTCAACCCTGAGCGTGGAGCCCTTCAGAGTGACTTGGCTTCGACAACTTCACAGCTCAGCTGAAAATGTCCTTAGGCCCCTGGCCACCAAGAACGCAGCCCTTCCAACTGCTGCTGTTTTAACAGTGGCTGGAGAAAGCACAGCACTGCTTTTTCCCCTGAACCCTGTGGAATTGGGTGGCTGATGACACAGCACAGCCACTCTTGATGATCACTGAATGACCACGGCGACTGGGAGAGGTGCCTGAGGACTGGAGAAAAGCAAATGTCACTCTTGTCTTGGAAAAGGACAAGGAGGAGGGCTCAGGGAACTGCAGGCCAGTCAGCCTCGTGCCGATTCCTGGGCAGGTGACAGAGCAGCTGATGCTGGGAACCGTTTCCAGGCACATGAAGGACCAGGAGATTACCAGCAGTCAGCATGGATAACAGCCTCAAACTGTGCAAAGTGTTAGGGCTGTGGAAAGCTCACAGCACCAGGTAGCACTGAGGCAGTCACCACAGGCGCTTGCTATAGCCAGGCTGGAAACACAATGGTACAAACTGGTACAAGCTCACTTGTTACTGGTCTCCAACTGGACAAGGCAGCAGCAGGAGGTCTTGGCTCGGGGCTAAGATGTGATCCAGGGCCCTAGCTTGGTAAGTTTAGGGCGTTTGGAGCCACCTCACATTGGCCAAACCCCAGAAAGCTGCTCTGGCAAAGCACATCCACAATCACAGCCAGGACCAACTCCCTTCCTTCCCTACCACAGGAGCCATCTGAAACCCAGCCCAGAAGGGAAGCAGATTCCTCTGTTTTCTACCCAGGTCTCTGTACCTATGCTCCAGCCTCCGGTGCCAAGTCCAGGATCTGACATGCTGGAACAGGAGCCAGAGGAAGTAAAGCTGGGCTGTTCAGGAGGAAAGGAGAGGAAATCAGGTCATCTACATGAGAGATGTTCAAAGATATGCAAGACAAATGGTAAGAAATGGTTGTCATACGTATCGGCTGTGGGAGGCCAGGTTGGAGGCACGCTGAGGGAAGGGGCCGTAGGAGTTTGGGCACCCCTGTAGCCTGGATTGGGCTTCAAACACGCTGCACAGCATGGCCAGGGTTTGCACATCGTGGAGCTGTGAGTAATGAGCCAGCCTGGGAAATGAAGAGGACAGACAGTATGAGACTGGGCAGAGCTCAGTGCACTGAGGCTGCAGGGCAACTGATTTTGAGCTTGCTACATACATCGGTTTAGGTGCCGTTACTGCCCAGAGGAGGCACGTGTGCTCTGCAGGACTGGGCTGTCTTTCTGTCACAGTTTTGAGGAGCCAAGTCCTCCTCCTGAAAACACTCGTGGCCTAGCAGGTGGGAGCTCTGGGAGTTCAGCTGTACTCACGGCCTGATTACCCCAACTTCATACGGCTTCAGGAACAACCTCCGCACAACTGACTTTAACTGGATGTGAAGCTGGAGCCATTAGACTCACCCCCAGCCATAATGTCTCTGAGAAAACCTTCTACATGCATCCCACTTCTAGATCACAAGGCAAAGTCCCACCACAGGTTTTCTGGATGGCTCTGGAGACTCGGAGAGATGAAGAATTACCTGTCCTCCCCTCCCACTGCTGCCACACGGCAGGAAAGAGCCAGGTCGAGCAAAGGTATTCAAAGCACACCACACAAATCCTGTCTATTAACACGGGGCATATTGACAGAAAATACCAACTACTTATTATGTCTCCTCCTAAACAGATTCACTGACAGGACATTTGCAGCTGATACTTGGTTTTGAGACCAGTGGAATGATTTCCCAGTAATGCTATCTGGCAACAGCAAATCTGAAAGCGAAGAAATCAGCTGCACCAACAAACTCATTTAGGAGGTGGGGAGCAGAAAACCAAAACCTCCAAGTCAGGCTTTGCAGGCATGCTGGAAAGCAGATCTCCTACCCACAGCACCCCGCCTATTGCTCAACGTTAGCCAAAGACGACGTGGGTGCTGGATGGGGGGCCAAACGCTGTCTCCTGCATGCCACAGACACACTGGCAGCTTCCCTTCTCAAAGTACCTCAGGCTTCAGAGTTAAAAATACAAGCTGTGGCACTGCCCCACATCTGAAATGTACGTAGTTATGGAGGGCTCTGCTTCAGCAACCGTTCCCCAACCCCTCCGCGGCGTTCAGACACTTACAAGGACTCCAGCAACTGACGTCCAAATGGATGTTGCGCCCAAGGTATCTCCAAATCTGGGTCAGACTTCGGTCCAAGACAGAGATCAGTCGCTACCATTGCCAGTGACCAAACCTGGCAGACAGGAATGAAAAGTATCAAAGCTACAATTAGAAATAACCACACTCCCAGGGCATAGGTGTGCACAAATTCAGTCTCAGATAATAATTGTTTATTTTTTTTTATCCTTCCCCTGGCAGCAGGAGCAGTTTCGGCCTCTGTGACACAAATAATATAGAGAGTAACACAAAACTGAAGCCTTCCCAGTCCCACTCGCTTTGAGTTTGGGTTAAACTTTGAAGAAGCATAGTCTATAGTCTAACAGACCTGTCAGGGTAGCTTAACAGACCTCTTAGTGCATTTTATATTCACGAACCTCCGAGGGGTATAAATTCGACACAGTTTTTGGGTTTGGCGGTGTCTGCTGGCAGAAAGTTTACTGGTGAATCATTATTTGGATGAAAAGTACCTTTTGATTAGCTGTGAGTGTTACTGAGCACTTCTGTTCTCCTGGCACTGCCCAGCGCACCCAGAAGTAGAGTTTGCCGTTTCTACTCCAACAGGTTAACTATTTCACATGAAATTTCTCCTTCACCTATCATCTTCTGCTCTGAAAATGGTTCCATCTTTCCAGTCTCTATATCACTGATCTAGGATTGGTTTTTTTTCTGTTGTGCCTTTTTAAATGGGGCAATTAGAATATTCCAGGGCAAAGCAAAGGTCCTAGCTTGGCATGAAAAAAAGAGGAGGAGAGGAAAAGGAGCACAGTGCTGGAAAGACAGCAGAAATCAGAGAGCCGACAGCACAGAAAAGTAAAGAGAAAAAGACACGCTCCAAGTACAAAGAAGAGCCAGGAAGAGCAGTCCCACGGCTGCTCACCGTGAAAACCAGAAAGAAACAGAAACAAAGACAGAGCTGAGGACAAGACAGCACAGAAAGATGGGAAAGATGCCACTTCCTACATTGCCACAGAGCACAGCTTACATGTAACCTGCAACTCAAGCCTCCCTGCCAGCTAGGAACAAGGGAAGCTGCAATCAGGCTACAGTTACATGGGACAAGGAAAAACAAGCAAGAAACAGAGGTACCTTGGAGAAATCTTGCTGAAGTTACTCTGTCCAGCGTGGGCAAACCACACAGCAAGATTCAGCACAGACAAAGGTGAACTAGAAGTACTTTCTATCATCTGGTCTAGCAGAACCCACCAAGAAGCAAGACAACAGCTTGAGTTTGCCTCTGCTTACAGCAGGTCAGCCTACGCATGTCCCCTGCCCAGGCCTAGGGAGAGCCAAATGCTCAGGAGAGGTGCACAGGCTCCTCTGGCAGTGCCAGCTCGCTCTCATCTCTTCCAGGCACTCCCGAGCCCTGTCAAATGTTCTGCTTGTCGTGATGGACTGACCACATGGGAAAGGATGGGCTAAAAGAGCCGTTTTTCTCCTATTGCTAGCTGAGGGTAAGTGGCCAGCCCCGTGCTGAGGTTGGTCCCTGGACTCAGACTCTCTTGGGGGGAAGCCAGCTACAGATAGCACCCAGTGCACAGATGAGTACCAAGCCACGGGAACAATTACATAAGTGAGACAAAAACATCCATCAAAATGCTGACAAGCAGCTAGGCAACTGCTTACATAGTTACTCCATTTGCTGACTCAAAAGTAGGCTGCGTTCCTCGCTTTGCCTGCAGGAATTCCCTGAAAAATGTGCTTTGCTCAGTTTAGCAAAGGGCACAACACAATCTGCTTGCAGCGCTGGGAAGGAACCTCTTGATGCCAACAGACAATGAGGTAGAGACCACCCCCATGGCTGTTCCTCAGGCCTTGGTTCACCAACCAGAGACTCCTTGGAACAACTGGTGAACCCAGGTGGCTGCTGGGGTAGCAAGGGGACAGCAGAAGCCATCTGAGGGCAGCACAGCATGCTGAGGAAGAGCTCTGATTCAACACAGTACCTGTACGAGGTCCCTCCGTCCCACAGTCAAGGCCGAGGCAGCATTCTTCTGGCAAGTCTCCTGGATATTATTCACATTCAGTCTAAAAAGAAAGGCGACAGCTCAGGTGTGGTTGGCATGTTACCTACAAAGGTGGGGAGGGATGGGGGGAAAGTGGTACTGGCAGCAGCGAGTAGCCCAGAACTTCCAGATCAACATGTGCCTGCGAGCATGGCCAGGATCCCATCCCTTCCTCCCCTGCTATTCAGGGATCACTGCCATCCTTCTGGCAGCTCCCACTCGTCACCTTCCCTCACACATTGCACATCGAGGCCAGCTCCAAACTAGCTGGGGTTGATTCTAAGAGGCACCGATCCAAGGAGATAAGGGCCCAAACTTGTGCCAGGACATCACCAAGCCAAGATTCATTCCTGTCCCTGCAAGGTGGCACTGTCAGCTCCATGGTCCTGTTCCCATTCAGCATCTTGGTCTGCTCTGACTGACCTGGAGGGAGGTGGCAGGACGGAGCAGAGGTGCAGGTCGGTCTTCAGTCTGTTCCCCAGCAGGATAACACACACCAGGGAGTCTCTGAGACACTGTCAAGGTGGGCTGAGGAAAGCCACGTGGGCTCTCCTGCTTATCCTCCCGAGGCACTTGACACCTTTACTGCTTAAGATCTCACAGCAAATGGAAAGGGGTCAGGCTATTTACACACAAAACATCCAGGGAAGAAAGCTCCAACAGGTCTTTTAAAGAATATTCTTTTTAATAATATAGAAAAGAGAGAAGGAAGATATTTTTTCTCTCTCTTCTCTTCCCCCTGCCTCCTTTAAGAAGGGAAGCTTGCTTCTTCCTTGAATGTCCACTGGAAATTCTGTGAAGGACCAGACAAAGCTAAGGAAGAAAAAAAATTCAGGAACAGGGATTTTGTAACTATCCGAGATTCTTGTAAAAAAAAAAACAACCCAAAACACAACACAGAACTTCTCCATCCTTTCCATTAAAGCAGAATTTGCTGTATGGACACTGGCACGTTCAACCAAGTCTCCATGGGAATGGGGCATTCCACATACTTCTGACATTAAAAAGCCTTATGAGCTAATGTCAGGTTTAAAGTATGAGAATGTGCATTTGTTGGGATTTTTAAACCTGTGCATTTAAGCATGGAGTTTAACGTGAGATTTGAAAAAGAATTTGTACTGAAAATTTCTCTCTTTAGCTGATGAAAACCAAAACCTGTAAGGTTTGCAGTGATGACGACGGAGCACCGGTCCAAACTCTGTGTACAATACCCCATCACAAATTTGCTCCATCACACTTTTCAGATTTATAGGAGACAAATCCTCTCTCGCAGGCAGAGGGATACCACAGAAAAGCAGCGAGGCAAGAACAGAGGAAGAAAGCACAGAGACATTCAAAGCTCAGTGCTGCTTGATTCCAGGGTTAAAGCACAGCAGTGCCAACGACGCCTGCTTTCACTTGGGAACGAGTGCCAGCCCGTACTCACATGTAGAGCTCTCCCAGCAGCTTGTGCACAGGCAGCAAGCAGGAAATATCTTGGATAATAACTTTCCCGGCAGCTTTGATGGGTCGGTTGTTGGCATCTGTCCCCTCTCGTTTGCTTTTCCATCTCCTTGATTTCTGCAGAACAAATGGCAAGGTGTTACTGGGGAGGAGGACAGCGGGCTGCCTGGGCCAGCGAACAAAGCACTAGGGTCAGGAATAATGCAAGCAGCACCCAAACCTGCCTTTCAGAAGGCTCTGTGTTACCCTGGAAAACATCCATGACATGCCCAGGAGAACAAGCATCTCCATCTGTAGGGAGTGAAAAGCAGGTCAAGGCAGCGAGCTCAAGGTCGAACTCACTCAAAAAGTATTTAGTGAGTTCCCCTGTGAAAGCCAATAGGAGAACAAATCGGCATCGGGATGCCAATCAAACCTGGGCAGGTTTGGCAGGAGGACGGTTTAATTAATGGTTCTTATTAGAGGTCTGGGAGCCCTCTGCACACAGACCACCGCTGGCTCCAGCCAGCATCAGCAGAGACGTGTGGGAGGCAGGTCGCGCTTGCCATTAGCTTCAGGGCAAGCTGACAGCTCCAGCCTGTCTCTTTTGGTCTCTCAGTGTTTGAGTTACACCCCTCTGGTGGCAGGACAGGCTCCCACCTCCTGCTTTATCAACAGCTTCAAACAAACAGTGGGCAGATGATAAAGCAGGGCCCAAGTTTTCCTAAGCAAGAATCCTCAGCTACCATGCTCACAGCTACTTACGGCTGGCTCAGGACATAAGGGGTGGGAGAGGAGAAGAAAGGAGAGACGAATCAACACAGGGGAACAGAAACAAGAAGCCAAGATTCCCAAATACTCCCCATAACAGGCACAGAGGCCATCTGAACGCCAAGCTGCGTAAAGCTGCCTTGGCTGTATGAAACACCGTAGAGTATTTGGCTGGTATCCTGGCCTCTTCCAGCTCCTCGCTCTAGGAGGGTGAGGAGGAGACAAGAGGATGTGCAGCAGCACGACAGGCAGAAGGCACTGCAGCTCTACTCACAGAAACACTGGCTGCTACACGGGGCTCCCAAGCGCAGCGAAGGACGCTTTGCAATGCTGCTCCCCTGTGGCGTGTTTCCCCACTGACACAAGGAGCCCATGCTCCTGCACAGAAGGGTCTCCTGGTCACACCGAATGACGGAGTGTGCTGAGGCACTTGTCGTGGGGCATCCTACACCTCCATCCAAAACAGACCAGCCCCTTTGAAGGGGCCAGCAAAGCAGCCCTGTGCTGATGGCTCTGCAGAGCAGGCAGAGGTTGCACAGGGACCTCATGGCTCCTAAAGAGCAGGCTGGGCTACAGGAAGGGCACAACCTGGACCTGCAAGCAAGGTCACCTCTACCTTGGGTGTCAGGCCAGCTCTGGGACGGCTGGGTGCCAAACTGCCTTTAACCATGCAGTTCTGTGAGAACCTGGGCAGGCTTATCACAGACACAAAACACCCTTAAAGCTAAGAGCCTGAAGAAATTAATGCCTCCTTCACTGCCTGCCTGGCCCAAGCCTGGACCAATGTGCTGACAGGACCTTGCCATGCTGAGGAAACACCCTTAAAGCTAAGAACCTGAAGAAATTAATGCCTCCTTCACTGCCAATGTGCTGACAGGACCTTGCCATGCTGAGCACACTGCACAAGAAGCAAAAAGGACGTGCTCCTCAAGTCACTCTGGACATTGAGTGACTGAAACTCAGGCTCAAGCACAGGCTTGACAGTAAATGAAGAAGGTGTTTCAGGCTTGAAGGAGGTGGATTTTTCTAGGGATGCCCATGAGACAGAGCATCACCAGCTCCCCTGATCTTCCACTGCTCCCCAAAGTAGAAGAGCACGCATGCTGTCCAATATTCAGGTGCCAAATGCTGGTGGAAACAGGGCTGTCAGCGTTCAGTGCTACAGAAAAGCTGGCTGCCCAGGGCCTGACTGTTCTCCACCACATCCCCTCGAGTCCTAATCCCTCCAAGCTGGAAAAGCTGGCTGCCCGGGGCCTGACTGTTCTCCGCCACATCCCCTCGAGTCCTAATCCCTCCAAGCAGAATGTGCCTGCAGTATTTATCTGCTACATCGACTCTGAAGCTGAGAAGTGCTATGCTAGCAGGTAGCTAGAACATGGTCAGGGAGGAGACCAAACTCTCTTCAGCCCATCAGTTCCTAATCAAGGCACTATCTGGATCAGCCGTGGCTCTCTTGCTGTCAGGTAGAATACATCTCTTTTCCTAACACCTAAAAAAGCAGCTCACCTTCCTGTGCTGAAGGATGTGGGCTGTATTTCATCAAGGTTCCCAAACAACAGTGGCACCTGTACCTCATTCCTTGTCAGGGCAGCCAAATGCTGTCTCCTAGGTGCAGCGAGGAGCTGCTGATGCTGCCAAAAGGAATACTTGAGCAAAGCTTGGGAGCCCCAGCACGACCACATGCTAGCAGGGCAGGAGCTCAGGCGCTTCCTGGAAGGGCTACCAGGTTTCTCACAGCGCTGCCCTGTCAAAAGCTGTTCCTTGTGCAGTGTCTGAGCAGTCGTTTAAACCCAGATGCAGAACTACATTCTGCAGCTCTGTCACCAAGGGCTTCTAGAGCTTGGCAGGTAATTTGGAGAGCAACTTGCCACCTCCTGACCATCCGTGAGCCTCCAAGACTCGCAGCCGATGCCGAGTTCCCTCTGAGCGAGGCAGGCTCACTGTCCTGTCGTCGGGAACTGATTCAACCAGCTCCTGCCCTCTGCAAGAGCGGACTGAAGAAGCCTCCCAACAGGCATTTTAAAGACTAGAAACATGGACAACATAAATCACTTTCCACAGGTAATTCAGTCACTTTTTTTGGGTTTTTTTGAGAATGACAACAAATGAGGATGAGAATGGAAAAGAGATCTTATGAATGGTTTCCACCGCTTGCTGTTAGCATATCACCAGACACATGGAGACACTAAATGCATCAGAAGCCCCTGAAAACTTGAACTCACAACGAAATCTTCCTGTTTTCTTCCTCTTAGCACTGCCCGTTTACTGGCAAAAAGGGAAGCCCTATTTCTTTACTGGTGCAGCTCCAGGAGCAGAGTCAGTCGATGGCCACGTGCCCTTCCAGTGCTACACTTCCATGACTGCCAATTCCTGCCCCTCAAGCTGTGGCAGAAGAAAATCATCGAACCGTATGTACAGCCATCATTAAAAATGTCTGGTTTTTGCAATTCAATTTGCCTCTGTTACAGCAACAGTGTTAGAAAAATCTCTGATCAGAAGTATGGGAACTATCACAGATGAGGTAAAGCTCATCACCATCAGCAGCAGCAGCTCTACGTGGAACCAGATAATTGCTGGCGTTAATTACAGGAGGAGCTCTCCACCAGGTGGTATTTGAGCACCTTTAACAGGGATTACCAGAGGCAAAGAGAGCTTTAGCTTGGGTTTGTCTGGCCAAGGTCCACCACAAGGTTACTCTCTCCCTTCTGCTTCACCTCTTCTCCCACGAGCACCTCTCACTATGGCCTTACCAAAAGGTGTCACCGAGGCTCAGGAGCATCAGGGTAGGACAGAAAACACGTCTCATCCTAGGGGCTGGAGCACAGGTCACAGCGGGGAGCAGGGGACGTAACGACTGGAGCTGAAGCAGAAATCAACGTGCATGCACCAAGCTAACACTACTGACAGCTGAAGGTCGCAGACACAGGTCTTCTGCACTGCCCCTGGCATTTCTAGCTCTTTCTGCAGCCCAGAATCCATGCCAAGGGGAACTGCATCTACCCAGCTGCTCCGGAGAGCTTGAGGAGAGGAAGAAAAGGAAGAAAATAGCTACAGCGATAGCAAATTAAGACTCATCAGTTCCTCAGAGCACCAGAAGGAAAGAAACCAGAGCATTTATGACAATCATGGGGTTGGAGGTGACAGCAGGGAACAGCACTGAACGATGACTACAAAAGCCAGCCTGTACCTGCACTACCATACCCAAGGCTGTAATTTGCTGCAATCTGAGGTGATAACGATGGCAGTAAATGGGTTACATGTAGAAACAGATAGCCCAAGAATAAGCCACCAACTGCTTCGTAGCAACCACCATCATCACTGCATACTCAGCAGGAGTAGTTACAAAATGCTGCGTGTCTGCTCAGAAAGGATGCTGAACAGTTGGGTGTGTGTGTGTGTGCGCGCCTTTGGATCCTGCTGAGGCAGGCAGTGCTGTAAGGAGCGTTGTGAAATGTAAAGTGCCTGTTTCGCATAAGCGTATGCAGAATTTTAGAGTTCGGGATATAAACCGGTGTTAGTAGGCTAAAGGGAAAGGCTGTGTCCAGAAGGGAACACGCTTGATGCTGAAGATACAGCTGTAATGAGGCATTTACAAAATAAGAGAGTTAAACCTGCTCCAAGTCAGGTTCAAGCTGCTTCTAACATTATTTTTTTTTTAAAAGAAATGTAAAAATTGCTGCCTCCCTGCAGAAAGATATGCTCCTTTCTTCTGAACAACTGCCTACAGATTAACTCCCCCATGCAGGTCACGCAGCACTGCCTGGATTTTCTCTTCAAAACAATCAACATTTACTATTTCCAGCATCTCCCACAGTACCAGGCAACTTCCACAGAGGGGATGAAAAATCTGAGGCACTTTTGAATCAAGTGCCCCACAGCAGGA